AGTGAAAGTCAGTGGCTGCTGTTGGAGCAGACAGAGCCTGGCAGTGTGATCCCAGGTAGAAGGAGGGAGCAGTTGGCTGCCAGCTTCTCCTTGGAGCACGTCACATAGAGCAGCCTGGGAGCTACAGGAATGACCAGAGCATGAGGCTGGAGTAAGGAATTACAGCTGGGCATTGGAGCAACTGCAGTGGCACACTGCTGGCAGAGGCTGATTGTAGACATCTTGGGATTGCTGCGAGATGCCAGTTGAGGCATTTGGGGGCTTTTCCCTCTTTCTGCCCTTCAAATTTCCCTGCCTTTTCTGTCATATCTCCTTTCCCTTAGAACAGCAAAGTCTAAGTTATGCCTTTGTACTCTGAGCTCTGTATAATTCTTTGTGGAGAACCATTTAAGTAATATTTCCATATGTATAACAACTCAAGTATGTTCCATGTAAATGAAGGAAGTGCATGGTCATGTTTATTGTTGCACAAGGAACCAAATACACACTGGTTCTGCTGCTTCAAGGCCTTTCCATTCTACCCTGAACCCATAGTCCTGTGAAGGAATGTGTAATGAGATCACTTTAATGAGTTAAACAGAAGAATAGGTAAAAAATATAGTATTTTATAATTGTACTCTACAAGCAGAAAGGAAAATGTACTTCTTACTGTTAGGAGAAAAATGCTCATTGTGGCTGACACAATGTATGTGTTCTGCTTTTATTTAGAGCAATGCATTAAAAATGTGTTGCTCTGCATACTTTCTACATTAATCAAAAGGAAATTTCAATCTAAGAGAGTTTAGATAATACTAATGTAATTTTGTCTATTACCCAAACACAAAAGGTGTTTGTACCCAAACAAAAAAGGTAAAATATTTTTGTGTACCACAAAGTATCATTTCTGTGAGCACATAGTTATGCACAATGGAAAAATGAGAATACTGAGAGAAAAGTCTCAAAAATGTGTGTGTGTGTATTAAACTGAAAACTTACTTTGATATTCAAAGGATTTTTTTTTGTTTTTACTCCAAGGTTTGTTTTTCTGTCATTATTCTGGCTGAAGGTTTTGTTCTTGAGTTGTATGTGGTTTTATTGTGTTTTGCTGAAGAAAGTATGAAAGACATGAAAGGATTTTTACTAATATTTTGCTTAAATACCTAATGCTGTGATTCATTTTTAACATGCATTTTTTCCTACTTTGCATACAAGTGAAACTGATTTATTTTCAAAAATTATTGATGTGGTATTATAATATATTTCATCTGCCAAGTGGAAATTTCATAATCTACTTCCTGTCTTGTTTTGTTGAAAAATGGTTTTATTCTCCCTCTTGTTCCCATTCATTTCCCAGTTTATGTGCTTCTCCCCTCATTACTTAATTGCATGTAATGTTCTTGCTGTTCGTGTGAGAGGAGGTGATTTTGTATTGATTTCTGCTGTGTTTCTGTGTGCACTGATGTAAATTTAGACCTAAATAGGCCAATGGTTGCTCTTTCAGGAGGTCTGCATGCTGCTAGAAGGACTTGTTGCTTCAAGAGTCAAACACTACTTGGAAGCACGTAAACAACGTGGTCAGTGGAAATCCATGGAACGTTCATCGTCTGGTCCTTTGTTTCTTACTGGTAAAAGAAATTGTTTAACTTATGATAAAATAAAGTGGCAAAATATAGTGAAAATTGCTGTTCTTTATTTTTATTGCAGGAGAAATTTGCCATCAGGAAAGCCAGAAAGCTTAAACCAGTTGGGTTTGGGTCTGAAATTATTTCAGCAATATTGGTGAAAAAATTAAATGGGTTTTCATTTTCTGTGTTACTAAAAATAAGCATAACACTCGTGCTATTAGTCTGAGAGTTTATCATGAAAGGGAATAAATGATATAACCTTGGGTCCTGCAGAATTGATGGAAATTTTTCTGATTTAAGTCTCCTTTCCACTTGAATGTATAGTTAAAAATTTTTTCATTTAGAAATAATATTGTTACTTCTCCCTCTTCTGGCAGTCTGTTCAGTCAGCAGCACCAATGACCTTGGGAGTGCAGAAGAAAACCGTATTAAGAACATTTACCCAACTGGAACTTATTTTTTGTGAGGGTGAGGAGACTAATAGGTGCCATTTCAGTACATCCGCGTTCTAAACTGAAGGTGGTGATTACTGTAGCTTGTGCTCTAATGTCAGAGCATCTTTGGGGCTAAATGGCTTTCAGTTTCTGTTTAATATCATTTCACTGTGATCATAATGGTGTGTTTGCAGTCGATAGGCTTATTGTTGGGGTTATATCATACAAGCAATTTATGTTTAAATAGTTCGTGGGAAAAAAATAGGTTAGTTTTTTTTTTTTATTACTGGCCTGAAGCATGTTATAAACTTGTCATAGAATGCAATAGTCAGGACCTGTGTTGGACATGGATTTCCACATTTCCTTAAGTATATCAAGATAGATCTCTACTGAAGTCTGACTTCTGCAATAAATGTAATTACATGTTTACTTTATATAATCACTATACTCATAGAATTTTTTGAATTCTATGTATGTTGCATTAACAATTTTAATTTTGAGCTAATTCTTTGCCTCTTAGAATGTTTCCCATTATTGAAAAGGTATATTCCTTTAGAGTTCTAGTTGATGGTTCAGTTTTAAACACATGTCAATAATAATAAGTGGTTTTAATGAAGGAAACAGGTTACATACTGTATGCTTGGCTTATTGCTGCAAACTTTTAGGCATATGTGGGAGCCAGATTGTTATGGCATGACAGGAGGGTTTTTTCCCCACCCCCAGGAACATGATCCTACATAAGCAAAAGCTGCTTCAGATCACTAAAGGATTTCCAAGCACTTTTTTCCTTGCAAGTTTTAAGTTCATTTCATCCCGTTAAAGTACTTGTTAGTCAAACACATGAACATCCAGACCCCTGTGCTCTTCTGGTTTCTAGTGAACCAGAGTTTTCGTACAGTGAAAGCAGTGGGACATTACAGAGGGTGGGATTAGATTTCTGAGATTTGTTGAGGTTTTTCTGTGTTTTCTTTTATCAATAAATATTTTTTATTCTTTATTTTTTAAAGTTTCCTGCCTCAGTCAAAGTAAGTTTTCAAAACCAATGATTTTATAAGGTAAAACTGCCAGACATAATAATTGTTTTATATATACAGAGAAATGCAATGTTAATTTGAGTGTGTGCATGAAATTTTTAGGGTCTTATATTTTGGTTTATGTTATGAACTTTTCAGTAATAGTACTGGTATGCTGTCCAGGGCTGTGAACTGATCTGCTTGACTCTTCCCCTTGTTTCCTGAAAATGAAAAAGTTAAGGATATGCATTTGAGGAGGTCATCAGTAATATCAGTGACAGTTTTAGATTAAAGGATATTTACTTTGGATGAGGCAGAATTACTGTTCCATCAGTTTTCTGCAGTTACTCTCATCGTCACTAATTAACAACACAGAACTAAAGGAAGCAAACAGGCTGTGATAACGAACATTCATGTTGAGCTTCATTTCCAAATCCAGTTCTTTCCTCTTCTCTCAGCCTGCTTTGCTCAGGGCTGTAATTTGTAAGAAAGGAGTGCTTTGTTCAAGTCCAAGAATCAAGTTTATTCAAGTTACAGTCAAGTCTGTTCTTACCTGAGAAGGAAATAACAGAATAGGTGGGTGTGCAGTGCAGCAGCCGGGACCTACCTCTAAGGACTGTCCCTTTCAGGTGAGCCACAGGGCTAATAGTCTCTAGTAGTTCTCATCACTCAAACGTGGCTCCCAAACCTCTTCTGTTGTGTGTTCCTCTCTCTAGGATCACAGGTTCTGCGTGCAGTCTGCAATGAAATGTTTTGTGGTTTTTTCACAAGCAGATGAAGTGCAGGATAGCAGCCAGTGTTTGACTGATCTGTGCTGTAGCATACAGAGAAATGCAGGAGCTTGGTACGTGGCTCACTGTGCACACAGTGGAGCTGCTGCTGGAGAAGTGTTTAAGCTGCAGCTATTGTTGCATTTGGAGGTTATTAAAAGTTTTTGCGTTCTTCAAGCTGAATGTGGTTTCTTTTGCTCAAAGTTATGCAAGTCTGTGTGGAGTTTCACTGCTGTAAAACCCCTGCTATTGCAAGGGGGTGTGTGTCTGTAGAAGGAACCTTAAGATGCTTAATAACTGTTTATTTGCTATTTCAAGTATCCCAGATCATCATTCCACCTCTGTCTGAAGTCACATCTTTTCAGGTCCATTTTAATTAGCTTGCTGTGCACACTCCAGGGTGTCTTCAAAATTTACTTAGAAACAGAATTATTAGACCAATATTAATAAGTTTTAGACTACCTTTAATGTCAAAGCATGTTGTATTAGGTTTCCCTTCAGAACTAAAAGCCAAACTACCTTCACTTGATGAGCAGATCTCTTGTAAAGTCCTACTGCCATAACTGTTCTGAAGAAAAAGTTCCACCTATCACAATTTCTTTTCAATATTAATGTTATATTATGTTTAGTATGAATACTATTTAATCCCACCTTTCAGTTTTGTGGCACTTAATGTAAATATCTGTGCAAGTTACTTGTTAATTTACATTTCTTTTTCACTTCAGTTCCACCCCCACTGCAGTGTGTGGTGGGTCGCATACCATCTCATTAGGAAATCTGTGGGTGTTACACACAGGAGAAGAAAGAAAGAAAGAAAGAATGGAAAAATGAGAGAAAGTAGCCAAGACAAGCAAGTTCTTCCTATTCTTCCTTCTGTCTGAACAATTTCCCCACCCCTCCCAAATGGCCAGTATGAACAATTTGCCAAAGTAAGCTTTAATTTAGCCTTTGGATGTAAGCTTTGGTATAAACTCACTGTTTCCTGTGTTTAATTAATGTCCAAATGTGTTTGATTTTGGTTGATTTTATTTTGTAAGAGAAAATTAAAATGGGGTTGATTTTTCCAAGGTTGAATTTTGCCTGCATCTAATCTGCATGGCCAAAATCATGCAAGAAGGGCATCAGCCAGGTATGGCTTGTCCTTGCATTATTTCAAGTTTCATGTTCCACTGAAAGTGGCTGGTTCTGATTAAGAGCAATGAGAATTAAGAGGAGACTGTAAAGAGCACTGAGTAGAGATATTAAATACAGGAGAATGACTAAGGGAAGGCTATGGAAAAAATAAGGAAGAAGGCAAGGTTTACATGGGCACAGAGGAAGCAAAAAGAGAATGTGGAAATGAAGTGTGGTTGGTAGACATGTCAATGCTAGAAATGGAAGGAAGGAAGGAAAAAGGTATATGGTTAACTGACCTTCTTCCACCTTTTGAGGGAGAAAAAAGTTAACTATGTTTATCCTGCAAGTAATTTTCAGATCTATTCTCATTCCTTCCCTAGCATCCTTGTTGTTTTTTTTGGCTTGGGGTGGAACATTTTTGCTCTGGTTTCAGATCTTTTTATTGTACAGTCTCTTCTACAGTGAAAATAATTAGAAAGCATGCTGTCACATGGCACAGTGAGCTCCCAGCTTGATTTTATCTGCTTTCCCTGGGATCGTGTATATATTTTTTTATATTTTTTACTTGGTTTTCTAAGGAAATGAGGCTTATTTTGATCATGTTTTCTCTATTTGTCCATCTTTTCCCCCAGCTGCTTTTTGCAAACGTGATTGTACTTTATTAACAGGTAGAAGTCTCTGGCATGAAATTTTCAGTCATTAACTCCTGACAGTCTTACTAAAATGAGAAACTGGAAGAAGTACAAGAGCTATTAGAAGTAGTTCAGCGTTACAGAGATCTGGAGTTAAAGTTCATATCGTATTTAATATAAAGAAAAATGCATAAGATGCAGTTTCACAAGAAAATACATTTCTCTTGCTTAGGAAACTATTTTCTTGGCTCCTGTAAGGGCACAAAAATATACAATGAATTATGGTAGTAAATATTCCAAACTCTTTGGCCTTGCACTTTAATTTGAACATTATGATGTTTTTTAAGGAAAACACCCTCTTCAGACTGGCCCAGTTTGCTTTAGGAGTGTTCACTATTACTGCAGGACATGAATTGTGTAAGATGTTTGTAGAGTATGTTCCACATTACAATCCTGGAGCAGCAAAACTGCTTTATTCCCACTGTCCCAGCTGTTAACTCTTACTCCTCTGCTGGGAAGCTGTTTGGTTTGGTTTTAACTAGACTCTCTTCTACTTTATTGCTTAAAGAGCAACTCTACAACAATTTGATGGGTACAACTAGAGGGAAATAAGCTATGGCAGATAAGCTGCCATAGGGGACTGAGGAGGAGTCTTTTAAATGAACTTTGATATTTGCAGTTGCACATTGTAATTTCTGTCTCTCAAAAGAATTATATTGCATCTTCTCTACAATGGACTCATTTATGATTTGTGGCCAAGTCCTGCAGATCTGTGTGAACTTTAAACTTACATTCATCTGTCTGTGACAACAGAGCCTCATAGCTCCCTGAAGTATGCAGCAACTTATGCAATAACTTATGAAAAATCTTTTGATTAGTATCTTGGACTTAGTATTTCCTGTATTTTCTTTAGACTGCTTTTTTCCCCATTTTTTGATAGCCAGATAATAGGAAATAAGGGCATCTTTTTTCACCGAAACATTTTTCTTCTAGAAGATCAGGGTTATATATTGGAATAATTCTTTTGGTTTGTGT